TGCGACGCAGTTTTGCGGGCCTCGTCCTCGCCGGATTTGCCGGCGAAGCGCTGCAGGTCTTCGGGGGGCGCGTGCAGGATCATCATGAGCAGGTGGGAGATGAGGATCGTGCGGTGTGAAGCGGGGGATATGAAGGAGGAGAAGGAGACGAGGTCGCGGTAGAGCTCTGTGTGGGAGGTTAGGAGACAAAGGCGGTGCGTGGCTTTGTGGGAGGGGTAGAATTTCTTGGAATCGAGGAGGGAGTGGATTTGGCCCCAGAAGCCGTGCAGGAGGGTTAGCGTTGTTAGTTGGATGTCGATTTGGGGGGTGTGTTGGACTAGGGATTCTGGACTGTGCATGGCTTCCATGAGGCTGGGTGGAGGAGCGGTAGGGGGCTGGGATTTTAGGTAAAGATCGCGCCAGGATGTGGCGGACTTTGCTAGCCAGAGGTCTCGAGATGCTGGTAGGTCGAATTTGATTTCTGTAAAGGTAATCAGGGGAGGTTTTTGGAGGGCAATTGAGGCATCAGTGTCGTGGATGAAGAGATGAAGGACAAGTCTGAATATCAATTAATAACTAAAGTAACCGTAGTTAATGACGAAACTCTTGCCTTTTATAAGACTCTCTTTCTGTCCATTTACTCCATTTCGACGCCAAGACGGCGTCGGGGTCGTTTCTCTCGGGCATGAAGTGTGATGGCTGTCGTGGGGCGGCAAATGCACCAGCTCGACGAAGCATCTGTAGATCATTTAGCTAGCTAATGGATTGTCGATAAAGTAACTTGCGCTGATAACCGGTTGTCCAAAGCTTTCAGCAAGCTCCATCTTCCTCTTGAATCCGCTCCATAGCCCGATATCGAGACATATGACAAACGCCTGAAGCGTCTGTAGGTTGCGCGTGAAGGTGTTGTTTTGCTCCCACTGCTAGCATCAGTTTACGAATTTTCAAAAAAATCATAGTCATAACTAACAAGTTCAACGACAGTATTCCTGGCTACTTCCTGGAGTGCCAATCCCATTTTCCAGATAGAAGGGGTTGATATCAAAGTTGACCCTTGAGCAATCATGGCAAAGTACAGTTGGGGGATAGTTCTAATTGGTACAACAGATGCGGGATGAATCAGGCAATCTATTTTGTAACTTTCCTGGAGGAAATATATCTGGATAATGGTGTTCAGTAGAGACAACGATGGGAACGACACAACTTTTTTCGGTGGTCGGGGAAGACTGAAAAGTAGTCCTAGCATTTGGTCTCGGATCTTAGAGTTTATACAGCACGATGCAAAATCATCAAGGCTTGCATCTGGCGATGGTGCGGAGAGGATTGATGGGATGCTTTCTTCATCCAAGTTGAGGTCGTTTTGGTCACTAAGGTCCTGGTCTTTTGGAGTCGGAGTCCATAGCCATGGCGATCTCTCAAATGCAGCATACCGTTTGGCCACGTCTCTCGGTTTATTGGAGGTTTCGCTTTTCTGAGGACGAGGCGTGCCGGGAGATACAAGGCTATGGTTCATTTTCTCGTAGTCAAGCTCGACGCTGTCCAGATCTATGTCCCACATACTAAAGTCAAGATCTTGACTGAAGTACGGATCTGGGACCATGAAGCCAGGGCCATTATTGAGGCCCACATCTCCAGACAGAAAGGAAAAATCGTGAGCTGCCGCATCAAAAAACAGTCCGGTTGCAAGATTCATAGGTGCTGTTGCTGGTGACGGCTGCCGCACTTCTCCAATAGACTGGTCCATTCCATCCCGGAAGCCATTCGAAACTGCCTTCTCGGAGCTTTGATATACTCGTGTATCGAAGTCATTTAGTAGACCAGGCTCCGTTGTAGAGCTATTGCTATACTCGTCCTGATTGACCGATGTATTTTTAGAAGAAAGAGAAATCGCCGCGCCGAGAGAGCCACTCGCTTTATGTGAAGACTTGTGCGCTTTACTCGGGGCCATTTCACACGAGATGTGTCGCTTTTGGCATCTTGCGCAAGGCTTTTCATCCTGACATTTAGTCTTGGAACTAATACAAGCAAGACATGCGGTTGAAACTCGTTCCGCCCGCTCAGACCGAATTCCGGCGTTATGATCATGGCCGGCCTGATGCCGATTCAATAAATCCGCTCGATTGAAGCTTTTTGGGCATCGATCACATTTGTGAGGTCGAGCGTTTTCGTGACTTTTCAAATGTCGGTTCAAGTGGTCGGCTCGCTCATATACTCGCCCACAAAGATGACAGTGATGGGAGCTACCTGACTGCGGGGAGAAACGTATTTGTGGGGTATCCGAAAGTCTCCGGATCTCATTTTGTTCCAATGGCCTGGGTGAAGAGGTGAAACTAATGGCATCGCACAGTACATCCATTCGGCTGAATTTCGAGATGGTAAAAGGTGTCCATATGATAGTATTATGGAAGTTGGGAGGCGGGGAAAGGAACAATGTGGAGGTGGGGGGCGGGGATCTTAAATAAGTTGGTCCTGGACGATCGACGATGCAGCCGAGAGGGGCCGAGAAGCTGCTCCAAACCCTGAACTCTAATCTCGAATCAAAAAGTAGAGGCGTATTGTAATGTAATGGCTTTGACCCTTTAATGCACAAGTAACCTTCGATAGCCGTCCATTTTCGCTGTCATTAATAAGTTCGGGACTGTACTTATGGCTTTCACGCCCGTGCATTTTTTCTCCCATGGCTCGACCATGATGTTGGGCGAGGAGTCGGAATCAGCAACTTACTGGAAGAAATGCGGAGATGAAGCTCTTGCTAATGGTATCAAGCATGTTGTTATGATGGTAAGAGCCATTTAAGATGCCCCTGAATGCCTCTGACTTGAAGTAGGGAGCACACTGGGCTGCTGTTGGCGACGAGATCCAAGTTGCTGCCAACCCCAAGCCCGATAAATCACCTGTTGCCTATGTCCATCCATCAAAATACGCAGACTATGAATTGAACCCAGATCTCCCCATGGCAGACAAATGTGTGGAACTCCTGAATACAGCTGGCTTCAACGCCAAGAAGAACACGACATTCGACTGGATTCACGATACTTACCTGATTCTCATTAGGATGTTTCCCGGTGGCTGTCCTCCAACTACTCTCATCAGTACCAATGCCCGATACGACCCTCACTACCACATCAAAGTCGGAGATGCTCTGTCGTGTTTGAGAAAAGAGCAAGACAAAGTACTGTTGATCGGAACAGGAGGTGCTGTTCACAACCTGTACCGCAACAACTGGGGTCAGATGATACGCTACCGTGATAACTTCGCCTTGGAAAATCCCCCAGAAGCAGCATTGATGGATTTCAGGCAGGAGTTTGAGGATGCCATGATACATAATTCGGGTCCAGCTCTGAGGAGAGCCATTAGCTTGCTGATGAAGCTGCCGAGCTATCGAGATGCGCATGGGACGGATGATCACTTTATCCCAGCATGTTTTGTTGCTGGGGCTGCTGGACGGAAAGAAGATGAAGGGACGAAAGCCGTGATGGGTGCTGAGGATTGGGAACTGCAAAATATGTGCAACTCGCAGTTCACTCTTGGATCGTGGCCTAGAAGTGTTGATGTTTGAACCATTATCTATGTGAATAACATCCCCACATTGCTTTCTTTCAAATGTGTCGACTTTTCTCCGGCTCTCAACGTGGGTTGTGACTTTGCTGTTAGGCCGTGACTATTCATTTGGAAATCATTGATTTATTTCGATCTAGACAAAGAATTGCTAAGTAATATATAAGTGGATTTCTTATGAGATGGACAGTGTGCCATTCACCTGTACAACTCACTGTCATAGCATTGTCTACAGACAAAGGGAATAGAGACCCCACTTCCCCTCGATCCATAAACATCAAACAATGTAGAGAAAGCGATGCCCATCACGCGGTTTTCTTCGATTGGGTAAGAAAAGACTTCCCGCTCCGGAGAATTCCTTCCTGCAAAGTGACAAGGGGTCTGTATCCCAGAATCCTCTTCGCCTTATCAATCCGATATGTCCTTGTCATGCAACTATATCTGATGCCAACTGTGTTTATGTGCGATTTCTTGCGACCGAAAGAGGTGAGCCAAACGATCCATTCTGCAAGTACCGCCATCATGAGCCCGGCCCATCTGGGTATGGTCCGAACATCTTTTATGTTGGTAGGATATCCTGCGGCATCTCCAACTGCTCGTGCAAATTCCCAAAATGGGACATGCTCGTCGTTGGTTATGATAAATCCCTCCCCAGCAGCACTCACCTTGTTTTCCAGTAAACACTGAGCAGCTAAGATATGTGCGTATATAACATTCTCGATGTAGGTAAAATCGTAGAGGTTCTTCCCAGTACCAATTTGGACTTTCAGCTTTCCAGCCGCAGCAGTCTCAGCGAGGCCTTTTGCGGTTCCTTCATCTTCGCCAAATATTGCCGAAGGTCGGATTGATGCTGTTAGCATTCCACCATGGGTGGTGCTGTTTGCATCGAGTACTAGCTGGTCTGCCAATGCCTTGGTGTGGGAGTAAACTTCTTTTTGTTGTGGGAGGTACACGAGTGGTAGATTTTCGTCTGCTTCGACCAAGTCGCTGATGGCGTCGTGGACGACGGAGGCGCTTGATGTGTACACAAAGGCTTTCGTTCCTGCTTGCTACATATACTCTTAGCATAGTTTCATTCAAATGTCACACCAAAATTGAGCAATCAGAGCTAAGGCGTGTAGAGACAGATTGATTCATGGAGAAATCCGAAAAACTTTGGAGAAATCTGTTCGAAATCTTGACATGCGCAATAGAAGAGCTAGCCTACCTTTGCGCCCTCCAAGAGATTGCGAGTTCCCTCGACGTTCACTTTCAAGTATAGACCAAGATCCAAGAGCCCCGCTGGAGGCGAAGCTGTGTGCAAGATAACTTGAGGCCTGACCGTGCGAAGAGCAGCACGCACTGCTTCCTTGTCCGTTATGTCTACATCGTGATACTCGACAAACGGAGACTGAACGCGGTTTTGAGCTGTGCGCAAATCAAAAACTGCGATTTTGGGCGAGGGGTCGAGCTTCAGTAACTCGGTGACCATGCGACGACCAAGGACGCCGCAGCCCCCAACAACGAGAGCGGATTCAATTGGCGGTGGCACACTCATGATATGTTTGAAAAATAGGAGACAGTAGTACTTGGTAAGTGAAATAGATTGAGAAAATCCAATAGTCAAAATTGGAGGTTGTTTACCTGTGTATATGACCGCGTTGTAGGCACCCCGTGCGGCGCAAAAGGATTCCCTTTAAGGTTATTGATAATGCCCTTCGAGCAGTGCACACTCTGTTTGCCAAGTCAAGTGGCTAGGGTAGGGGAAGTACTCGAATCCAGCAGATCTCTTGATTATCACTATAATCCCTCTCATATTAGAGGACACGAGACTAGATACTGCAGCATCGAATTTTGCGCCGCACGGAGTAGACAGGCGAGCACTGAATGCTGTTGATTGTGTCGACGAAGCCGGGATCCTGGTATAGATTTCCCCAAGGTCTGGCGACGTGAAGATGGAGGCGATTGAAGTTTAGAGAGAAAGTCGGTCAGATGTGAAAGCAGCGCGCAGTGAAGTGAGGGCAGATTTAATCACTCGAGTAGCTCAGTGCACCAGGTGTGTACTCCGTAAAATCCAAGTGGCACGGGCCGCACCTAGTGTTATTTTAGGTACAGTACTCGAGTACGCTGGAAATAGCGGGCGCCAGTGCGAGACCCCTTTCTTGAACGAGTGCCTCAGGCTCTTTGTATGCATCCCGCATCTGCAAATCAACCAACACCCCCCCGTAAGGTTTTACGGATCAAAATGCAGCCAAGGACATATGCATTTATACAGTCTTGTCTGTAAGGAATGCTCGGCCACCTGTTTTAGCAGCAAAATAGAGGGATGATCTCCTCCGGAGACTGGAATACACCTGCCCATCGCGGTTTACGTTTTTTCAAACCATCTATCCGTACCCAGCTAAAGAGTTTTCTTATTGAATGACTTGTATGTTAAACCTTCCTGGGCATGAGTTTCTTTCCGACTACTTTCTCACCACTCAAACAGCTTTAGGACATGATGGTCCATTCTTCAAGCCATGATGGCGTCTACAGGTTCAACTGCAGATCGTATTCGTAAACTGCTTATGAGGAAGACCAGACAGACCACGATTCTCCGCGGTACCCCCATGCTTAGGAAAGCGAATATCCATGGAGATTCTTCGTGAATGCCTGCATCCCGAAAACCATATTCAATTGAGAATGCGGATTTCTGCGTCATGGTTCAAGCCAAAGTGTTTCCAGTTATCGTTGATGCATCTTCGTCCAACGAGCTCGGTGACTTGGTTGATAAATGGACGAAGCTTATAGGAATCATGTCACAGTCTGAAAATCTCAATATAGCCTAGAGAGGTACCTGCTCTGAAACCCGAGTGGATGCAAAACCTGGGCGAGTGCCGTCGCGTATCGCAGCGGTAGATATTCTTTCGAAGAGTAGTACTCGTGTGGCAAACACATCATACTCGAACAAGTCCTGTGCTTACCTCGGAACTATGGTAAGGATTGCCTAATAGCCAAGGCGGGTGAAGTGAGCGATGTTGGCCGATCATGGACTAATTGGTGTCGGTACTGAAACTGATCTTCCGTCTCCATTAGCTTATTATCACAGTATAAGCAGAGGGTTACAAGCACCGTCGGAGTCTCTCCGAAATCGAATGATATCTGACACCTTTGAAGATATTGTAAGGGTTGGCCCAAAGAGTGGGGTAGCGATCGGGAAGTCATCCCGACTCATCCGATCCTCACCGAATGTGGGATCTGGCGATAGCTACAAATGGCAAGTTACATCTTTCAAGTTTACAGTGTGCGATACCGATACTAACAAGTCTTCAATTAACAAAATGCCAAGCACCATTGAAACTCCTGAGGTTACCTCAAAGGCCGGCCCTCTTTTCCCAGATTATCTGCGTAAGTTTCACGGAAACCACCTTATCAAACACACACTAACAAGCCAATAGCTCATTATGATCCTCTCGAGAAAGTCGAGATGGTTGGAGCGTTTAAGCACGTCGATCCAGGTCATCGGGCAAACTCCTTAAAGCGAAATCTGCTTGCCGGTGCAACCAAAGTTGCGGATCTGAGTCCTCACGTTGGAACTGAACTTCACGGGGTCAAGCTCAACGAACTGAGCTCGGAAGCTCTCGATGAGCTTGCTCTGCTCACGGCCGAACGGGGTTGTGTAGTTTTTCGCAACCAAGAGGAATTTTTGAACTCTGGTTTCGAGGCGCAGAAGAAAATTGCTGGGCATTTCGGCCCATTGCATGTTCATGGCTGGATGCCACACGCCGAGAAGGGACCAGCGGAATTTGTCATTGTCTATGACTCGACCGAGGATCTCCGATTGCGAAGATTTTGGGCGCGGAAGAACCCAATCCAGTTTCATGTCGACCAGTCCCCAGAAGCGCAACCACCTGGAATGACTTTCTTTGCTGTTCTGGAATCGCCACCCGGAGTCGGCGGTGACACTATCTTTTCCAGCACCGCCCGTGCCTTCTCTAGGCTGTCGCCAAAATTCCGTGCCAGGCTCGAGGGACTGACTGCTGTTCATTCTACAGATGCTCAGATTAGTAGGGAGATCAGCGATAACAAAGACAAGAGCGTTGTTCGTCGTCCAATCACACGCTCTGTTCATCCAGTTGTGACAGTTCATCCAGTCACAGGCGCCAAGAATCTCTTTGTGAATTCCTCATACACAAGAAGCATTGTGGGGTTTGACGACGAGGAGTCGGATATGATGCTCAAATTTCTGTTTGATCATATCAGGGGTGGGCATGACTTCGCTTGCCGTGTGAGATATGAGCCGGGAACGGTAGTAGTCTGGGACCAGCGGTCATGTCAACACAGCCAGACATTGGATTACCCGGCTGGGTCGAGACGACACGCCTTTCGCCTAACATCGCTGGCGAATGTTCCAATTCCTAGCAAGGTCGACGAGGATGATGATGGATGCAGCCTTGAGGAGGATCGTGAAATGCTTGGCCTATGTTAGACTTTTGAGCGTGCATCTTTTCTAGAGACTTTTGCATTTAATGTTACCATCTTCTTATTTTAACAAGTTCAAAGCAATTGCAATCTATTCCATAATTTGTATACACAAAAAGCACGATGTTTCTGTTTCTAATGTTCCAATCGCCTACTTTAATTATCATCCCTGAATTCCGCCGCCAAAAATGGGCGTGCCTGCTTTAGAGCTCAAAAATAGTCACATAGAGGACTTCTTGATCAGTAACGTGTTTAATAGCTCACAGAATTAATTATATAATGTCTGTTCAATTTACAGTGATCTATTGTTTTACTTTGGCTTCTAGCTCAACCTCAAACACTATCAGTTCTCTCACCAACTTATGCGCCATTACCGCATCTCCTTTCTCTACAGACATCGGCATCAGCGGGCGCCTGGGCTTGTTCTCGTAGCCAAACAAACGGTTGAGCAACATTTTCATCCCCGCAATCTATATAGATTGAATATCAGCATCTTCTAGGGTCTGGGCTAATATGAAAATAAGTCTTACACCAATCTTGATTGCAACACCATCAGCATTCGCAATTAAGTTTTGCACTTTCTGTGCCTCAACATATGATCCTGTTCCTGGCGCTGCTTGACACAATTCCCAAAGCTTTACGCATGTTCTCTGCCACGCTCGTTAGCCTTCTCGTCACCGTTCTCTTCCTTTAGGACCTACCGGAGCAAAATTCGCAAGTCCAGTAATGGCGCCAGAAGATCCAGAAGCCATCGAAGGCAGAAGAAAGTCAATAAACCCATCGATTACCAAGAACGGGGCTGTCTCGACCTTTCTTGGATATTGCTTCTGAAACGAAGGCTCGTTCACCGAAGCTGTTATCCGGGTGAGTTTTCCAACGGCTCCACACGTGAGCTTCACACCGCAGATATTGGGTGCTGACTTTGCGATATCGATGATAAAATCGCTGTCCATGTCGATACCTCCCGAGACACCGGGGAAGTTATACATCATTCTTTTATATCGCCATCAGCCACAGCACGTGCCAGCGACATCGCCGTACGAGATCACTCACACTGGAATGGGAGACGCTTCAGAAATATCAAGAAAGTAAGTTCTCAGGGCCGCCATGTTTTCTGCAATTAAAGGGCCGGCATAGTATCCCGGCGGTATAGCAATCGCAAAGTCTGCACCTGCTGCTGCTGCATCTTTAGCTAGTTGGATTGACTCGCGAGTGCTGGCTGCGCCAATTCCTGCAACAATGGGGACCGTGTTCAAGTTGATTTCGTCGAGGGCCGCGCGACCGGCGACTATCAGGGACGTACGTTCCAAGGCGCTCTACAGACTGTTGTTAGGTTGACTTTTGAAAGTTAATTGAGATGAAGCCTACGAGATGAGGCGCTTCCCCCATGGTTCCTGATATTACAGGAAATGTTCCGGCAGCTGCTGTGACTTGATTTTAAGGCAGTCAGATCATCTATTCTTTCACCGGAAAGATGAGTTCTTACATTGGATATGTTTCTTGAACGCCTGGAGATCCAAATCTTCACTTCCATCCTGAAAGAAAGTCGGGAGAGGTGTATAGATCCCTTTGGGTAGAATTCTCGTCATCTTTTGGAATTGGTGATTTTAATGAAAAGAGTTGAAGATAATTGGAGATATGTTTCAAAGAGTTGTCTCGTCACCAGCAGCCCTTGTTGATACTGTTCTTAAAAGGTGAAATTAACCTTGAATCGCTAGTACCTACCTGTATGAAGCCTTTGGTACAAAGTTTTACATCAATGATTGGTGCAAATCAATCAACAGAGATGTAGTATCGGTTCGTAGCCGAAATAGCTACAAACTAAGAGCTATGCGATAAGACGGATAGGCTGTATCCCTCCTTTGCGGAGAAATCGGTTCTTACTTTCGGTAGTGGGGATATGTATGTCTGTTTACCATCGGCTTCTTTACCGACGATCCCGATGCCCCTCCCAGCAATTCTTATCTTATAAGCTAGTGATCACTTACGGGTGAAACAGGTCTGGCTGTCAGATGGACAATAGCTTAGGAGCAATTCGAATTGTTATCTTGCGCTTGCAAATATCATGGTGCTAATTCGAGGACCCGACGATCTGGATGGAACTTGGGAAAATGGATCTAAGTGGTAGAGATAGATAAGCTTTGATCTATAAAAACCTCTAGGCTCCCTTTGTCCCTACTTCATCTCAAGAGCTCCTTTATCATTTCAACGAAAGGTTACTTCCTTCAACATGTCAGCAGCACTAGACAAGAAGACTCCACAGGAATTGGAGGTTTCAGCAGCTCCAGAGTTCGAGGCTGTGGAAGCGCTCAAGGCAGTGAAAGCTGGACATGCAGACGATGTTGACATCGCCGCACGAATTCTAGCAGACAACATCGATGTTGCTGGAAACGAGACCTGGAGCGTGGCGGAAGACAAGAAGCTTATTAGGAAGGTTGACTGGAGATTAATTCCAATCGTAAGTCTCAGTGACTATTCCGTTACTTTTAGCGATCTGACATTGGGATAGCTGTTTGTGTGTGCAACTCTGTCTGGTCTCGATAAAACAGCTATTTCGGCAGCTGCGATCTATAATCTAAAAAAAGACTTGAATCTTGTGGGGCAGCAATATTCTTGGGTTGGGTCGGCACCTTTCTTTGGTGGTCTGGCCTTCATGGGACCATCCGCATATTGTTTGCAGAAGTTTCCTCCTGTTCATTACTTTGCATTTAACGTGCTCTGCTGGGGAATCCTTGAGATGTGTATGGCAGCTTGCACCAGCTTCGGCGGACTGTTCGTCTGTCGATTCCTTCTCGGTGGCTTCGAAGCCTTGTTAATCCCTGCTGTCACATTGCTTATTGCCATGTGGTATAAGCCCAATGAGCAACCTGCAAGGAACGCTATTATTCTCAATGTCATTGCCCCAATTCTGAACGGCCTGATAGCGTGGTCTGTTGGTATGCTTTGTCCTCCGAAACACCTGTAGGTGGAAAGCTAATTGGTAATAGGATATCATCACGGCCATTTCCCAGCATGGAAGATTATATTTCTAACACTTGGCGCCTTCACCATTCTCTGGTCTACTGTTGTGTTTTGGTTCTTGCCCAATAACCCGCTGGAGGCAAAATGGCTTTCCGAGAGAGAGAAGTACATGCTTATTCAACGAAAGGCAACCGACAATACCGGCATGGAATCCAAGACCTTCAAGAAAGAGCAAATCTGGGAAGCACTTATGGATGTCAAGACTTGGTAGGCCTATATATTCCCATACAAAAATCCCGCTTTCCTCTATCTGAGCTGGGAAGCCAGGAACTGTTTCGTGGGCCCATATGCGGGCCCCCGAGACAGCTTTTAAGCTTCTTGCCTCTGTCAGCACTTGACTTTTAACTATGCTAATTCGTCGTTCAGGTTGATTTGGTTCGCCATTGTCGCACTTCAAGTCCCTAACGGAGGCCTCACTACTTTCAACACCCTTATCATCAAAGGCCTCGGATTCAACAACGAAAAAACCGCACTCCTAGCCATGCCGCCAGGAGCTATGAGCACACTTTCCGGGATCGGATTATCTTACCTCGCAGCAACTACGCGGCGCTGGAGAAGTGTCATAGTAGCGGTCTCCATCCTGCTTCCCCTCGTGGGCGCAATCATCTGCTACACGCTCCCCCGCACCAACCTCGCGGGCCAACTCGTCGGATTATACATCCTGTATACCTACTGGGCACCGTACGTAACGCTCGTGTCTATCTACCAGGCGAACATTGCGGGTCATACCAAGAAGGTTTTCCTGTTTGCTTGGTTCTATGTTGCGTGGGCCGCGGGGAATATTATTGGCCCGCAGACATTCCTGGCGTATCAGGCACCGGCATATACTGGAGGGACGGTTGCTATGATTGTGTGCTATTGTGTCGCGATATTTTGTATACTGGGTTATGGGGCTGTTTGTCATGTGAGTAATAAGAGGAGGGCTGGGGAAATCAGTGAAAATCGGGGAGATATGGATTGGCTTGATCTGACGGACAAGGAGAATATTTCTTTCAAGTACACAACTTAACATTTGGGGGTGTGATTGAAATGAATGAAGAGTCTATGAAGTACCTCTCAAAACCAGATAATATACATCGCATTGTCTTCTATTCTTCTATGCGTCTATGGTGTGTTGCAATTATGGAAACGCTGGCGGAATAACAAGTTCTTCAGCTCTAAGTTCTATGTCCCTTTCCATTCTCGTGCAAACCAACCAGATTCTTGAAAGCGCATATACATTTTCTTCTCGAACCACCTCTGCACTTCGCCCGACTTGAAATCGCCACAGGGTAAAATATTGCTAGCGTATAACAGATTCAAGCCTGCGTTCCTATCGATCGACCATAGCAAGTTCGGCATGCCACTCCAACTCAGTGTCCCCCTTGTTCTTCCCGTGTCTTCGTCTTCTAATACCATCATGCCCCCCAGTCCCCAATTGACCTTTGTGCCCGCTTTGTGGCTTGCAAATTGCTCTTGCATGAAAGGGAGTCCAATATCATCTTGGTATGTTTTCGCAGCAGCACCAGTCATCTGCGGAGTAAACATCTCGTCAATAGTCGCTGACCCCAACAGATTTCCATCATTCCTACTAATTGACTGAAGAACTTTCATGAAATCGGTGGCAGAACCGGTTAGTCCGCCACCTCCATACTCATCTGGTGTCGTGTTAGAGAAAGATTCGTCAAGCCATTCGACCTTCTCTTCATTTCGAATAGGAAGTCCAAAAGTTGGGTTCCCTACTCGGCGACTCATCTTTACAAGATTTTCCTTTACATGTGGCTTCTTTTCCGGGTGGAAAGTTATATTTTGAATGCCCAGTGGATGCCAAATGTGTTTTTGCATGTACTCCTCGAGCGACATGGCGCTGAGTCTCACAACAAGTACACCCACCCATTCAAGACTATATCCGTACTCCCAGCTCGTTCCTGGTTCGAAGAGCAGTGGTTTGCAAATGGTCCCCATCATGGACTTATCCTCTTCTTGCCCAAGCGCAATGCGCGAGGCGCTCCAGCGTTGATACCTCCCATCATGGTCGTATCCGAAACCTGCAGAATGTGTAAGGAGATGCCTATATAATTAGCTAAATATTGAAGAAAACTGAGAGTGCTTGGTTTGTTACCTCAAAGTAATTTTATTATCTGCCTTCTTTAGGATGGGCGTATCTGTTCCGTCCTGAAAGCCCGTGAGAATTTCAATGTCTTTCAATTCCGTTAAAACAGATGAGACATCATCATCGAGTTCAATTTGACCACTCTCAACACATTGTAGGACAGCAATGGTAGTAAGGAGTTTAGTGCATGATGCTAGCCAGAAGGTAGAGTCTAAATCCATTGGCTCTGTAGGTGTCTTGTGACCAAAGGTCTCTGTGTACTGGAAGTGTCCCGAGGAGAAGTTAGCTAGATGCTTTGATTAAGTGGAAGAAGAGAGAATACCTCCAATATCGCGGGCAAGAAGTATAACACCTGGAAGCTCTCGATCGGCACACATTTTCTTTACTTTCTCCTCAAATGCGCCCATAGCTGTGATGCGCTTTGGCGACCTCTTTCTTAAGATGCCTGTCGACTTGCGCTGTAGGAAAAATCCGAGGATTTTGATAAACGACGAGACAATGGTTAAGACTCTATGGAAACCGAGCTTTGTACCAGAAAAATTACACACTTGATAAGCAGCTGCGTCCACGATCACAATTCGATATCGCGGGGCGCGGGGCAATGAGTGCTGACATAAGGCCTCACTTTCCTAATCCGGTAACCCGAGCTATGCTGTGGAACGGAGGTTGCTGTACTTGAGGCAGTAGAAGAAGACAGTGGAGCATTCTTTCTTTAAACTAAGTGTCTATTACTTACGACTAGTCGCAGACATCTATTGGTGAGGTTGATGAATTTTGACCTCCAGGGACTTGACTTGGTAGACTCAATGAGTAATAACATTGTAGTTAGTGGTCAATCATTCTGGGATCGACTCCTATAGTGTTTTACGACCTTCTCTATAAATAGGCCGCTAATTATAAACCCTTGCGTTCGCAGGACATAAAAAGCGGCACTTACTCTTATCGGCTTTTCATAAAGTGCTATACTACCTGGCACATTATAATTTGGTGCCGCTTTTCTTATCTACGTCAAGGCTTATTCTTTCTATGAGTACGGCTATAAAACACTATAGGAGTCAATACGGGAATGTATATGGAGAGCCAGGACAGGAAGTCTTTTATTACTCACGTTCACGTGACCTTGATTTCAAGACTATATTATTGGCATATAGTCGCAGTGGACAATTGAGTATATCTTGACGCTAGCATAAGATATCAATAGCATATATCTAGGTAGGTATACGAAAGTGTGGTGTGTTCGCCAGCATGAAGAGTCTGGTGGTCATATGTTATTCGAGTACGGCTGACGTAAGCAGCTAATCCCCGGCCTGTTGCGGCTGTTGCGGCTGCACCACAACATTGGCGACATGTTTTATCCTCATCTACGAGAAGGCTATGCAGCGTCAGCGACGACAGCTGCTATGGGGTTCAACTTCCCACTTCTTGTTGTTGGCAGCAATCACATGTGCGACAGGCTCTGCCTTGGTACCTAGGTATTTATTGATACGTCTTCTGCCTTCCTGTTTGGACCTTATCTTAAGATGCGGCTTGCACAAGAGGCGTTTCTGCTCGGGTTCTCTCAGAGAGCTATCCATCGAGACCAAGTCGTGCTTGACTCGCCACCGAGCAAATTGGAAGAATATATTAAGAAGGCTCGTGCTAATGCATTGTTCCTAGATTTCCTGGTTTCTTTCTATTGACTACCTTCCCGACACGCTTCGTCTAAGCGGACTATTGACCGACTATCTGCAATTATGCTTATTTTCGACGACAACTTTACCGTGCTATCAAGAACCCCTAGTCAACTCACATAAGCCTCATTGCAACGTCTTCGCGGAAATCTATGCGTTCGTAGGCTTCGTTGTTCCTCGCCTCATCCCGCAGCTCCCCTACGCACGGCACGCGTGCAGAATCAATACATAAGATTGCACTGCATATCACTGCGAGGCTCTACCGGCTCTACCGGCTTGGATAAATGCGCAGAACATGGGATTCACGTTTGCGGGTGCGGAAACGTCCCACGACAAGCGTGCATGTGCATGCAATAGAGTTTCCCGACATCCCGTCTTCTATGAATACGAAGGTACTAGCTGAATATATACTATCGTTCTTCATTGGCTTGTAGGACACTCCTTGTACTTTATTGGCTGCTCAACTTACCAGGACACACAGTCCAGATAGGCAAGTACGATGTATTTAATAAGAATTTTTACATATTGATTCCATTTGTCAGTCACACCATTCTGGGACATATATAATTTACTTTCTTTCCTTAAACGCTTTGCTCTTAGAAGCATATTCTTTTCTTTTCCAAAATTAGGAGATTGCTGTTGATTTTCTACCCATTCCATTGCAATCCTTCAAAACCGCAATCCTAAAAATGTGGTACTTTGTGTTTATGACAATCGTTGGTCTCGTTTCTGGTGTGTCAATTACCGTTGACAGTTTCCAAGCTGGACATGAAGGAGCAAATGCAGTCGACAACGATACCACTACATTCTGGCATACCGAATATAGTCCATCCTTAGCAGCACTGCCTCATTCCGCAGTCATCGATCTTACGAAATCACAGCTGCTGAATGGCTTCTATTATCTTCCCCGTCAAGATGGAAACAAGAACGGAAACATTGGCCAGTATATCATTGAGTTGAGCCTTGACTCTTCCACCTGGACCCTGGTAGCTAATGACAGTTTCATCGACGATGATTCGCCGAAACAGACGGGCTTTGCGAATAGGCAAGCTCGATATGTTCGCCTTACCGCACACACTGAAGCCGGAGCTCGCGGATCCTGGTCCAGCGCCGCCGAATTTGGCGTTAATATTGCCCCTACTTCCACGGTCAACGGCCAGGTATGCAAAAATCCCGAGCAATTTGTTTCCCTAGTTTTGACAACATCCGGAGGGCTCTGAGGTCCTTCGGGCTTTTTAGGACTCCGGATTTTCCCGGACTCCAAAATGTTTCTTGAGTAAGCAATGCTAATTATGGTAACTTGCAGTGGGGACCCGTCATCGCCTTTCCGATAGTCTTTGCCGCAGCCGTCGTTATCCATGACACGGGGAAGATCGTAACGTTTGCCTCTTACAAAATCAACGCGTTTAGCGGATCAGGAAATACCTACACTGCAACATACGATCCCGCCACAGGCCTTGTCACTGAAAGAAATGTGGTTAATACAGCGCATGACATGTTCTGTCCTGGGATGTCTATCGATGCGAATGGGCGAGCTGTTGTGACAGGCGGTGATGATGCCAGCAAAACATCCATTTATGACCCCTCAAGTGATAGCTGGATAATTGGCGCTACTATGCAAATTTCACGAGGCTACCAAGCATCGACAACCTTGTCAGATGCCCGAATATTTACCATCGGTGGTTCCTGGAGTGGTGGCCGTGGCGGTAAGAATGGCGAGATCTACAATGCAACTTCAAACGCCTGGTCTCTCCTCAGTGGATGCCCCGTCGCCCCAATGCTCACAAACGATTCAGCAGGAATATTTCGGCAAGACAACCATGGATGGCTCTTTGGATGGAAAAGCGGATCTGTCTTTCAAGCTGGACCTAGTAAAACGATGAACTGGTACGGAACCTCTGGGAGCGGATCACAAACCTCAGCTGGACTACGTGGTTCAGATGGAGATTCTATGAATGGAAATGCAGTCATGTATGACGCTGTCAACGGTAAAATATTTACAGCTGGCGGCGCGGTCGATTACCAAGACGTCGATGCCACGAGCAACGTCCATCTCATAACTCTCGGTACCCCAAATACCACTCCAACTGTTCAGACGCTCACTTCGATGAATTATCAGCGGGCCTTTGCCAATGCGGTTGTCTTACCGAATGGGAAAATTTTCATCACAGGAGGCCAAGTTCACGCCGTGCCATTCACCGATGCTACCTCCATCCTCACACCTGAATTGTGGGATCCAGCAACTCAAACTTTCACTGTCCTTCCACCGCATACAGTTCCACGGAATTATCACAGTATAGCATTGCTCATGCTTGACGGACGCGTATTCACTGGGGGTGGAGGCCTTTGTGGCGACTGCCCTACAGGTGAAGCCAATCACGCAGACGCGCAGATCTATAGCCCAGCGTACCTCTTCAATTCCGACGGAACAGCAGCAACAAGGCCAGCTATTACCTCGATTTCTTCGACCACTTCAGCCGTTGGCGGCAAGGTCACCGTCGTTGCTGATAGCTCAATTAGCAGCTTTTCTCTCATCCGTTTTGGCTCGGCAACACATACTGTAGACACTGATCAGCGTCGTATAGCTTTGACTCCGACGACGACTTCTGGAACCACTTACACGCTTACAATTCCAAGTGACTCGGGCGTGGCATTGCCTGGATATTGGATGCTGTTTGCTCTCAATAGCGCTGGGGTGCCTAGTCTTGCAAAGTCTATCAAGATTACAATTTCATGAGATCTTGCTTGACCCAGCGCATGTACATTCCGTGTTTGGACATTGGTGTCGCTTTAATGCGGGGAGGCTCAGTAATCAGACGCCGAGCAGGGGTTTACCATTGACAGTTGAGATTCATTCGAGCAGGAGGGCCCCACCAGACGTAATATCTTATTAATTGGCATTATTTTATTCCAAGGTAGCACTACAGTGCCTCTCCTACACATAATTGTTACTTCGTCAATCATGCAAGGGTGCTTATTCATCAGCTCCTTTCGCCTAACTCCAACCACTCATAGGAGACGCATTGCAAAAAACACGAATCAATAATAACCAAACGGATCATACAGATTCAGCCTCCAGCTCTATGAGCCAGAACCCAAAAATTCCATGCAATCCCATGCTGCAACTGAAATATAAATAAGAATGCGTCGATACCCATATCAATCTATCTTCTCTAGCACTCGACTGGAACATTTTCGGAAACCTCTCAGGACAACTTTCCTGCCAACACCATGCCCTTCCCATCTGATGAAGTGCTCATGAAAACAGCCGGAGATTTGGTAGCCCAGCTCCAGGCTCTTTTCGGAAAACATCCAGGTTTCCGCGCAAGTAAGAAATCCGGTCATTCAAAGCACAGATTAGCCAGCCACTAACAAAGTGGCGTAACAAACAGCACACGCCAAAGGCGAATTGCTAAGCGGGACTTTCACTCCCTCAGCGGAAGCGAAGAAGCTCTCCAGTGCAGCGCATTTCAACAATGCCAGCACCCCAGTCTGGGTCCGGTTCTCCAACTCCACCGGTATTCCCAACATCCCAGACAATGACTCCAACGCCGACCCCCGCGGTATCGCCATCCGCTTCATCCTAGGCCCGCACAAACATACCGATGTTATCGGTCACTCGACGCCTTTCTTCCCAACGCATACCGGAGGCCAGTTCCTGGAGATGCTGCAGGCGATCGCGGCTTCTCCGCCAGATGCCGAACATCCATCTGCGATTGAGAAGTTCCTCGGTGCCAACCCGACAGCTCTTGCTTTCGTCACGGCCCCGAAGCCCCCGCCTGTCAGCTATGCCACGGAGCAGTACTGGAGCGTGAGTGCGTTTAAACTCATAGCCGCTGACGGCACCGCGAAATTCATCCGCTACCACGTAGTTCCCGATGCGGGCGTCTCTATCCTAGACGGCGAAGCCGTGAAAGCCAAAGCGGCCGATTACCTACAGAAGGAGCTAAGTGCGCGTCTGGCGACAGGAGCCATCGGCTTCAAGATCCTGGCACAAGTTGCTGAGGATGGCGATGTGACGGATAATGCGACTGTGCATTGGCCTGAGAGTCGGAAGGTGGTGGAGCTGGGTTCGTTCACGCTCGAGGGCATTGTGCCAGATAATGTGAAGGAGCAGAAGCAGGTTATCTTTGATCCGATACCGAGGGTTGAGGGGGTTGAGCCGTCGGATGATCCGTTGTTGGAGATACGTGCTGCGATCTATTTGATTAGCGGGAAGCAACGGAGGGCTGCTTGATTAATGGGAGGAGGGGTGGTTAGATATCATCTTGTGGATGCTTTGTAGGGGTTTGGGGTGTATGGCTTGGCTGATATATACTCTGCTGAAAGGAAGGCGACGAGAACGATTTCCTTAGCTGAAACATAGGACAACACATTCGAGAATGATAGAGCCCGAAACTACCATGTAAACCTACCTTACCGAAAGTCACACCTCCTTTCTTTTCCAAGAGGTAGTTGAAAACAAATACTATGATGAAGTGTGCATCTAATATTCGAGCTAGATTGCGAGCAGGTTGATTTGTCATTCATCTACCTTGCCTTTCCTTTCCTTTCCTGTGACTGCAACATGGTTTATAGAATGCATATAGAACTGACTTGTACAAGACTACAAGTACATAAAAGGATCTCTACGTCACTTGACGTGGTTAGCCATTGATTGTTGTCCAAGAATGGCCTTTGACCTAACGCTTATAACCAATAAGAAGAAGGAAGGGGTACATTGCACGTGCCTCTCTCTGCCACATTTGAGAGGACGAAATGAAAATACTTGGCTACAAATAGAGTATATAAAGACCTTACTCCATAAATTATTCTTCTGTGTACAAGGTAAAAAAGGTTCCGTTTCTGGGACTTTCAGATGGGTTACCACGTGACTGGGGAGGTGGCGGTGATGTCACATCGGGGCTGAAGCGAGACTCCGCGATTCCAAATTCAAGTTCAACGTCATGAAGATGTAGCTTCTTTTATGTATCTTACAGGTCAGATAGGTACTTTAGTACGTATAAAGGTACTTATTCTATACCTGAAGTCGTTACCATCGCCTTTATGCTTATGCTTATGCTTATGCTTATTATGCTTGCAGTATCAATTGTCATTAAGCGGTAAAGTACGTAGTAGGTATTTCTTGGCTTGAATAGGGAGGGAGGGAGTGAGATGATGATATTGATTTGATTCCAATCCAACATTCCAACTTTGCATCCTTCAGAACTGGTATTTCACTGGACTGGACATTCCGGGCAATGTACCTTCCGATCATCTTAGGGTACGTGCGACAAAGCAGGTGCAAGTAAGTGTACGACAAGCGTCATCGCCCAGCCCAGCCCAGTCCAGTCCAGGTCCAGTCCTACTCCTACCTTACTTAACAAGACCCTCGATCCCCACATCTCATTACTTCAATATCCATTCTACAACTATCTTACTCGACTAACTACTCGTGTTAATCGACTCACATCAACTCGTTCCACAATGGCACCCATCAACTCGATCCTCCCCCGCGCCGCTGTGCTCGTTTCCCGCAGGACGTGTTACAGTAACAACTACAACAGTGGATATGGCGGGTAAGCTGGTATCCCGTCCTGGCGGAAGATCTCATGCCAATGTGCAGCTAGCTAATTGCTTCTTCGTTTGACTTCTAGATACAGCGGTTCGTACAACTGCGACTCGGCATGGTATCGCTGGGGCCGTTGGGTGTTAGCCGGTATATTGATACTCATTGGAATTTGCTTCCTCCTTACAGCTGCGTATGTCCCCCTTCTTCCTTTCCCTTTTCTCCTACTTTCCACCATTCTCCTACCTTACACCATTCTCCCACCTTACACCAGTCTCTCTCCAAAGCCCCAGCCTTTGCTAACCAACCCTCGCAAAACTAGATTCTGTGTTCTGTGTCGCAAACGCCGCAACCGCAAGAGATACGAGAGCACCACCACGCCGATGTCGAACGTGCAGCAACCAGTCGGGGGAGGCTATCAGAATGATCAGCCGATGTATGCGAGGCCTTCTGAGGCGGCGCCGCCGCTGTATAGTGGGAATTATGAGGCGGGTAATGCGGGGTATTATGGGCAACAACAGGGCGGGGTGACATTGCCGCAAGGGGCGTATGTGAAGTAAGAGGTGGATGGGGTTTGTAGCTACTACAAATGCGTCTTGGTATCCATATCTGCAGTTGTGGAATCCGAACACGCAATACGGATGGTGTATGAGATAGTAGGGAGGATGGTGTGTGCACTGTATATATATGGGTAGGGGGCATATGGCGATGGAGCAGGATGGGCGGGCGGCGCGAATGATACTGGACTGGGAAACATGGGTATTGAGTAATGAATGATATTACGTTCTCGTTTCGGATTGGGATTCGTCTCAGTCGACTCTACATACTTCTATGACCACCGTTTCCTTGCAGGAACCCTTAATAGAGTTTGGTCTTGGGTTTCTCTCTTGCCACTTGTGCAATAAAAATCTTTTCTTTTCTTATCACCCTGTCCTGTTTTCATCCCCAACATTCGTTTCGATTGCTTAAGCTAGTAAAAAGCACAATTATGCCCTTAAGACCTTACCTCCCTCATAAAATCCCAACTTACCGCCGATATTGCATTGTTCCATCTGCGTACATGCATGAATGAAATCCAAATGTATCCGCCCGTCTAAATAGCACGTGACAATCTCCCCTATTTGTAGACTGAGCCCGCTGTCATTTCCAGGCCGGGGAATGGAGTTTGCATAAGTACCTTGGGTAGGTACGGAGGGGGTATCCTTCTATCTTTTCCAAGTCTCGCTAGGGCTAGCAGCTGCACATGATACATATTGGACTTGGATTTGTCAGTGAGTGACAGCCCCGCATTCGTCAATGTCGTGATCGATCGGATTTGTGATCTTCGGTGCAACCAGCACGATAACTTTTATATATATTCTTCTTTGCTCAGCCTTTACCGTAGTTACTTTCCATAACACATTCTGCCGATTCGTTGAACAGGATTGCAAGAGTACATAATCTAGACTTGTATTTTGACTTAGCTAAAGACAAACATGTCCGAGCCCAAAAAATTACACCTCACGGCCTTCATGCGGCCAGTAAGCCTACACACCGGAGCATGGCGCTATCCCGGATCCTACGCCGATGCGAATTTCAACCTTGCGCATCTGAAGTCCTTTATCCAGAAACTGGAAGCTGCGAAATTCGATGCGTTTTTCATGGCGGACCATTTGGCGGTGCTGAATATGCCGGTCGAGGCGTTGAAGAGGAGTCACACTGTGACTTCTTTTGAGCCGTTTACGTTGTTGGCTGCCCTGTCGGCGGTGACGGAGAAGATTGGGTTAGCGGCTACGGCGTCGACTACTTACGATGAGCCGTATCATATTGCGAGGAGGTTTGCTTCGTTGGAGTAAGGAGAGCTGGTTTATTTGTTGTTTTTGAGGGATGGGGGGAGGGGGTTCCTGAGATGATGTTTGGAGGATGTTTCGTGAAGCACAAGATCCTTTCATACTTTTATGCTGGAGATTTAAGCTGACGGGTTGTTCTTCAGTCATCTCAGTAATGGCCGAGCGGCTTGGAATATCGTCACAACTGGAAACCCAGAATCCGCCAAGAACTTCGGCCTAGACGAGCACGTAGAACATAGCGAGCGCTACAAACGGGCTCGGGAATTCTACGATGTCGTGACCGGTCTATGGGACAGCTTTGCAGATGATGCATTTCCCCGTGATGTAGAGAGCGGCATCTACCTGGACCCGGAGAAGATGCACATCCTGAACCACAAAGGTAAAGAGCTGAAAGTGCGCGGGCCCCTCAACATAGCACGCCCAGTCCAAGGCTGGCCCGTCATCGTACAAGCAGGCCAATCCGAGCCCGGAAGGCAGCTAGCAGCCGAAACGGCCGAAGTGGTGTTCTGCTCGCCGAAAGATCTAAAGGCCGCCAAGGAGCTGTACGCAGATATCAAGGGACGAGTCACTGCTGCAGGTCGAGATCCCAAGCATCTTAAGATCCTACCTGCTGCGCTTATTATTATTGGCGACACGGTCGAGGACGCGAAAGCCAAACGCCTCGTTCTCGACAGCCGCGTGCACTACGACAGCGCCATTGCCTCGCTGTCCATCGCGCTCGGGACTGACGCTTCAGGATTCGATCCCGATGGCCCGCTGCCAGACGACATCCCGGAGACGAACGCGAGCAAGACCAGCCAGGCGGGGGTGATTCGGCTCGCCAAGGAGGAGAACCTGACTGTCAAGCAGCTAGCGCAGCGTTACGGCGGGTATTCGGGCCTCGCGTTCGTGGGCACGCCGGAATCTATCGCGGATGATTTTGGTATATGGCTGGCTGAGGAGGCTGCTGATGGGTTTACGGTGGTTTTGCCGTTCTTGCCGCAGGGACTGGATGATGTGACGCAGCGGCTGGTGCCTGAGTTGCAGAGACGGGGGCTTTTCCGGAGTGAGTACGAGGGGACGACGTTAAGGGAACATCTTGGGCTTCCGAGGCCGAAGAATCAGTTTTTCTCTTGAAGAATGAATGGGTTCATGATATATATCTACATAAATCATTCACTATTAGCCTTTATACATGTCATCTTTGCTTGAGATATATCCAACCCCTTTTTACCATACCACTGAACTTGACTTTCAAGAACTGGAAGGGCGTTCATAACACATGGTGCTAAATTGAAAATTGAACCACATGATTCTTTATACGCAAAAAACAATGTTATGTTTAAAGAGTGAGTCTATGGAGCTCAAGTCTACAAAAAGCGATGGTTGTAACGGAAAACTAACCCCCTAAACTAAGCTGAATTAGGAGGTCATGCTTTTCCACAATTGACATGTCCCGGAGGTGAACATCGACCCTTCCTTCCCAAAGACGAAGATCGGCCAACGTGATGGCCGGTCGAATTATCAAAACGTTCAATCGTCGTCGCACTAGGTGAGGCAGATCCCGATGAGGTAAGCTGACCTTCGCCGATCAATCGAAAGATGACTTTCGAACGACATTCCATGTTCCACAATCCAAAGGCCCAGCAACTCATACCATCAAGCAAGACCCTAGACCCAATCCTCCCAATAATGAACTCTATTGCAAAAGACAACAGTGAAGCGGAGATCAGCATTCCCATGATCGATTTCTCGCGGTGGTCGTTAGCAAGCAGTGCCGAAGAACGAGTCTCCGTTGCCCAAGACCTGGTCGCCGCTTGTCACAATGTCGGATTCGTAACCCTCATCAACCACGGCGTGAGTCCCGAACTACTAGACGAGGCTTTCGGATGGTCGAAGCGATTGTTCGATCTGCAGACCGAGGAGAAAATGCTGGCGCCGCACCCACATGGTGCAGCTGTTCATCGGGGCTATTCTTACCCGGGCTTGGAGAAAGTCTCGCAGGTTATCAGCTCGGATCCGGAGGTTGGGGAAGGCTTGAGAGCTGTGATGGATTGTAAGGTAGGTGGGAGTGACATTTTCTAGAGTAGGGTTTATGTTTTGGTTTTTGATTTTTGGATAGGAGAGCTATGAAATCGGCAGCGAGGAGAATGATGAGCAGCCTAACATCTGGCTACCTGAAGAAACCCTCCCGGGAATCCGGGACTTCACTATGAGGTTCTACTGGGAATGCTCAAAAGCTTCTCGCGAGATGCTTGCTGCTATAGGACGAGGACTGGGCTTGGAAGACCCCGGATTCTTATTGAAGTTTCATTCTGGGCATAACAACCAACTGCGGCTGCTTCACTATCCCCCGATCCCCGCTGCGGAATTAGAAAATGGATCAAGTGCTCGAATGGAAGCACACTCGGACTGGGGATCGATCACGCTGCTTTTCCAGGACGAGTGCGGGGGCTTGGAGGTCGAGAGCCCACACGTACGGGGAAAGTTTATCAGAGTTACACCGTTGAAAAATGCGATGGTGGTGAATATCGGGGATCTGATGATGAGATGGAGTAACGGTAAGCCAAGTCTAGCCTTACAACAAACATACAATCACATCCTCCACATCTACGTATATCTGTGACATCTAATCACTCGCTCATCTCAGACTACCTGAAATCAACATTACATAGAGTCACTCTCCCGCCTGCGAATTCGCACGACCGCTTTACAGGTCTAGAGCGGATGACGAGGGCGAGATACTCGATTCCGTATTTCGTGGGCCCGGATAGCGATGCGGTGATTGCGTGTATGAGGGAGTGTGCGAGTGCGAGGAATCCGGTCAAGTATGAACCGGTGGTGCAGAAGGAATATCGGCTCATGAGGGGGAGGTTGCAATATGAGGACAAGGTAGCGTAGATGGCTAGTTAAATTCTTGTGATCAATAGTAAGAAGGAGTTAAGTAATGGGGTGGGAGTTTATGGGTATTTATTTAGTGCGTGGTTTGTGTTGCACGGAGTATGGTTCGGAGGAGCTCGAGCGAGGACTGTCTGGTTCTAATGCGAGATGGATATAATCCATCCACAATGCGCCTAATCACTCTCAAGGATTTCAGATCAAGGATCTAGCTTGTGATGCAATCAATCTCTATTTGCCATTCCTTCATCTTGTATTCGATGCGGATAGGTCCTGATACGAATGATGGCGGATCCGGGGTCCTCGCTTAGAGTACGATGTACAATGTACAATGTGCGTGGGGCCGATTCAAGGGCTTTGGGTCCGAGAACTAGGCCCGTCCGGTATGGAGATGGGTAGGCAGTTTGAATTGTGCACAGGAAGTATACGGGAGAAGGGTTCAATGGGACACTTAGATATATACTTACTTTGTGCTAAGAGGAAACACAAGTACCACTATTCACTACGCCCAAACTTTACCTAAAGCGTGGTGGGTATGTACAGGCTTTTTTCTTTCAAGTCTGAAACTGGGTCTCTTTTGACTCTACAACTTTATACTCGGCGGCACTTTGGAGAGCTTGGATTTAGCTATTACAGGGCTCCTAGAGGATTGACTTTCTCGCTGTCCTGGGAATCTACTAGGAGTCAGTTATAAGTGGAGAGTACGATGTATCCTTTCTACACTAGAAGGACCCATTTTCAGACTTAAAAACAAGTGAGTATGTATTTACAAAAGGGTAGGGTATTACGACTAGATATTAATACGCTGTGAAGGCTCATCACGTGCAACACCCCTCATTCTCCTGTACCTGTGCGAGTGTGGAGTAAGCGCTAGTACGGCGGTTCATCGGGGCTTGTGGCACGGAAGGAACCCATCCCATGTGGGGAAGATTCCGTGCGTGTTTCCTTGTACACCACACTGTACCACAGGATATTCCCCGAGGAAAAGCGTGTGGGGCAAGCAACACAGTAATAATCGGAGAGTTACAGTAGTGTGCACGAGATGGGGTTTACTGATGCCGTCGCCGTCGCTGGGATATATAATTCTATATTGTTTGGATACCTATAATCTTCAGAAGCCGCACTGTAGTCTAAGATGGATCGTCCTTCGTACTCGCATTTCCCCAAGTAATCTCCACCAAAGTTTCCACAGAACCGTGCGCAGTGTACTGTAAATCCCCATGCCCAGAACTGCAGGAAATGTACCGAGGATTTCACCGCCAAGTGAGCTTAATAGTGAGGCTGCTGATTATCTATTCGAAGCTCCTTGAATGGTGCAGAGGTGTATTAATGTAGAGTTAATGACCAGCCAGTATTACAAAGGTGAGGGAGGAGGTATGTCGACTCGAAAAGGGAGTGCAAATGCTGCAAATCCCACGTCATTTGGGTTCTGGTGGGCCGTCCACCTCCCAGCTCTATTGCTTGCTTGGTACAGTACAGTACAAGTACGACACGACTCAGAAGCGATCCAGCTAGCACTCGGTCGACCAGCATCTGGCCCGCCCGACCGTAAGGTTCGTCTCCGGATGGATTCCGGATGAATGCACTCTCTGGAAGGCTATCCATCATTTAGTGGAGGCATGGGATGGGGTAGCCTCCCCTCCCTTCCTTAGGTAGGTTAGGTCAACCAAACATTTCCACGTCTACCCCAGCCCAGACATATACTTATTCCCTCACTCACCAAACACCATCACGAAATCCATTTCGTCCCTATATTCCATCAGCTCAGCCCCCAGACTCGAACGGCATCCTGAATCATTGACAGCCCATTCACGACGAGTCAGTCCTCACTACGAGCTCGACTGGGGTATCGCAAGCAATTCAATATCTGCAAATGGCATCTTGGAACCGACGACAACCATGACACCGTGACGTCTCTGGTACTTCCTTCCTGGTCGCGGAACATTACATTTCAATGGCCTCAATCAATATCAGTGAGCTCTATGGGCGCGGCAGGGCCGCCTTCATCGTAACGACCACCACCTTCATACTCGCCACTCTTTTCGTCGTTGCAAGGGTCATCAGTCGCTTTGGAATCCTAGCGCATAGGACTGCAGATGACTGGCTGATGATATTGGCTTGGGTGAGTGTTGAGGATATATACCGTGGAACTAATGGCAGCAAGCTGACTGGCGCAAGTTTATCGCCTTTGGATTATCCTTTGCGATCGATTATGGGACTTCAAAGGGTCTGGGTCGTCCCGATGCCGATCTCGCTCCAGAATGGCTTGGTCCATTGCGAAGTTCAGAATACGCTTTCACGATTCTCTATGTATGTTACCCTGCCTTGCCTTTCCTGGGCATCTACTAACGTTCCAGAATCCCGCCTTGATGGTAACAAAAACTTCAATCCTCGTATTCTACCTCCGCATGTCAAAAAATACCCAAAGTCTCCTGCGAATCGCCTCATATATCACCCTGGGAATTGTCAATGTTGCTGGGGTTGTATTGACTTTCCTAAACACTTTTCAATGCAGTCCCGTCAGAGCTGCATACGACCCCGCATTGAGCCAGGGACGATGCTTGTCAATCGTTACACTCTACCTGTGCTCAGCCCCAGTCAACATCATTACGGATCTTGCGATTCTAGTCCTACCAATCCCAGTACTTACTGGAATGCGATTACCGCAAAGACAAAAGACAATCTTGGTGTTGACGTTCGCATTGGGTATCTTCGTCACTGTCGTTGATGTTGTGCGCATCTATTACCTCCAACAAGCTTCAAATAATCAAGTTGCGACACATGAGAAATTGGGTACCGCATCGGATTTCCCATACAACGCTAGTCCGGCCTTCATGTGGTCCGCTGTCGAGGTGAATGTTGGGATTATATGTGCCTGCATACCCACATTGAAGCCTCTTGTCACCCGAATTTTACCTTCCATGCTGCGAGATTTATCTGAAACCGGAACAGATAAAGACTACTACTCTTCACAACTGGATAATGCACCTACGCATCGACTGTCGTCGACGATTGCAAAACCTGGTCCAGCCATACTACCCCTACCTCGTAGCCAGCCAGGTGCTGACCCAGAAGACGAAGTGAACATGATGAGTATTCCTGGCATGGAACCCGGTTTGGGCTGTAGTGGTACTCAGAATACCCACCCTACGGAAAACTCGGTCTACTTTGGATTTGTCAACATGAAGAAACCCAAAAGTATGCTCAAGACCAGGGGTATGGAGTCGTTCAAATACTGCACCATAGTGACAATTCTGTTCTTCCTCTGGGGATTTTCCTACGGATTACTCAATAGTCTAAACAACGAGATTTCTAAGATCGCACATCAGAGGATTAGTCAAGATCTAGGGCTCACAACTGCTTACTTTGGAGCATACTTTTTTGGCGCAATGACGGTGGGCCAGTGGACTTTACGCCATGTTGGCTTCAAGGCGACGTTCATCACCGGACTCTGCGTGTATGGTGTAGGAACGCTGATCTTTTGGCCATCCGCAGTTTTGAGCTCCTTCCCTGGATTCATCATTTCGAACTTTGTCGTCGGCTTTGGTCTTTCGATCCTCGAAACTGCTGCAAATCCTTTTATTGTCCTATGCGGACCAAGTCAATCTGCCGAGTACCGACTTCTACTTTCTCAAGGCGTACAAGCTGTGGGAAGTGTTCTTAGCCAATTGTTGGCAGAGAGGGTTCTATTCGCGACCATTAAAGACAAGCCAAGTCTGATTGATGTTCAGTGGACGTACTTGGCCGTAGCTCTTTTCAGCGTCATCCTCGCCTTATTCTTCTACTATATGCCCCTTCCGGAAGCAAGCGACTTCGACCTCCTTGTTCAATCTGAAAACCTGGGAGTTTATGAATCGACTACCGTCTTCTCCTCTAAGTTCCGCCTCGTCTACGTTAGTCTTGGACTTGCTGTATTCGCCCAATTTGTTTATGTGGCAGCTCAGGAAAGCATGTCTGTTTGGTTCAATGTTACCCTCAGCTCCCTCTCATCAACCCCCACCTCCGGATCCCTTTCACTAAGTCCGAATAACTTTGCCATTCTCGGTCTCGCCACTTTCGCCATTGGTCGGTTTCTTTTCGCACCACTCTGCCTTTTCATTCCTCCTCGTATCCTCTTAATGGTAATTTTCCTCGGCTGCCTCATCTTTTCCATCCTGGCCATGTCCTTGAATACCTCGGCGAATGGCATCACGGGTGTGTCGATGGTGTTCTTCTTTTTTGAAGGTCCTGTCTTCCCCATGATCTACGCCATTGGACTGCGTGGCTTGGGGACCAGAACGAAGATGGGCGCTGGGCTTCTCACCGCTGCCGGTGGCGGCGGGGGTATTTTTCAATTCGTCATGTTCGCTGTACAGCGTCTGGATCACAAGAGCCTCCGATACAGCTACTGTGTTATCGTCGCGTTGTTCTCATTCGGATTGTTATACCCAGTTTATTTAAATGTCGTCCCGAAAGCTAGACGACAGGTCGATCCAGTGAAAGAAGGTGTGGGAGACGAACGACCCGAAACACCGATTCGGAGATTGAGCAGACGCTTCAGTGATATTATAAGCAAAATTGGGGGAGGCAAGAACGAGAGCAGTCCCGACTTGCCTGTAGTTGAGCATAGGGAAAGCAGGTAGGAAGGCTCAAGGCGGGCTTCCCGAACCCGTGGTGTATATATATGGCGTTATTTACTATATTTAGCGGGATAGCATTAGGTCGGCGTTTTACTCCTTTGGCGGAAGGATTTAAGGGAAAAAGGATTTGTAAAAAGGACTGGCCGGTCTTGACGGAAATGGATGCGTAATATTTGATCGACAGCTTAGTTAATAGGAGAGGGTGTGTAGTGTGTACCGAATTCAGGCATATATAAGCGAGGTGCTTAATGCATAGCGTGCGAACGACCAGTTGAGTGTTTAGTTACATTCAAGAATCAAAATACTACATTGACATTTCACTATGCATACATTGGCACCGGTTAATCTCACTGCATTTCAGCTTAGTCCAGCTGAAATGCAGACAGCGCACCTAGGTTATAGCCCCACATCCACCAAGTATGCATGCCTTGCTGGTCTTATTTGTAAGGCTGATCAGAAATTAAAGATAGCTAGAGCCTCCCTACTACGAGAAGACTGATATACTCCTTAGGATCACTCTACCGCTAAAAATCACTTTTGCCGATCATGAGTCGTTATTCTATGCACCTTTTGATATTCATTCTCTATCCACAATCTACGGCAGGGAATGAAATTAGAAGTCCTGATGGAGACGAAACTCGCTACATAGATGAGATTAAATGTTATAATCTTCCCTATGGAGGCTTTGGCTTTACGTCGTATGTCCTGACCTATTATGCGATAATTATGTTATGTCTGAATAAAATGCCACTACGACCATGGAATGATCTAAGGGATGATAGAGAGACATGGAATAAAACCCTCGCTGTTATAAAGCTCATCTTTACGATCATACCCTCAATTGTCACTATGGCTCGTTGTAGTCATGCCTGGTAGGTCTAGCTTTTGTTTATATTCTAGTAGTTGGGATCTTCCCACCTCTTGCGCCGGTTGCTTCCCTCGTTCTTTTACGAAAGACTGTATTATGCATGTTACTAATAACGGAATCTTTCAGGCAATTCGAAATAATGGCAGGAATGAAACTCGCTCTCTCTCTTACCTCCGGCATAATCGGTCTCCAGACTCGCGACGACTCTGAAGACGAACGTTGGTGGGGGCTGCTATATCTCCCAGGTGTTGTCGCTGGCACTGTAGGAGCTGTCTCTCTAGCAGCATCGAATTTTATCGGCCCGATGGGTGCTATTACAGTCGTGTTTGGTGGTGTTGCGTTGATGAGCTCAATGGCTGCGGTTCCTATTCTTGTGGGCTATTACCGGGATGGGGATAGGCAAGCAACTCGCGCAGAAGCTTTCACCATTCTTGTTCCAGGCTTATTCTTGGTCTTTCTACTGATTGTGTTGATACTCGGTGCTTTGTATTCGGATTGGGTGTTGGCAGTTATTGCAAATAATCCAGTGGGATATCCAACTAAGGGTAGCAAAGGCATACAGGCTTTGTGGGTCTTCTATATGATTGGGAAGAGACTTAATTTATTTATGACTTAAGATACTAAAGCTATAAACGAGTTGTAGAAAAAACGGAGGATGAGCTTGAGGGTGAGGAAAGCTTAGGGGGGAACCACCGATTAATTGACAAAAAGGAACAAAGTTTTCCTTTCAAATATATGCTAGAAGTGTTCTTTAGGTCCTTAATATAATTATCAGAGTAGGCTTTACCATTGCCCTCTATAAACTGCGGTTAGTACCCAGACCAATGTACGCCAGAAAACGCGATTTCCTGGGATACCCAGAGTGTGCATGGGGAGCTGGGTTTGTGTTGGAAGGCAGCAGGTGCAGTAGTGGTCTATGTCGATGCGCAAAGCGCGGGGCGCGGGGAAAGCAGACCGCCAGATTCGGAGGCGGAGTAGAGGGGGGGAGGAGGGGGG